AACGGCCACGCGCCGAGAGGCGACCATCCTATGGGCGGCGCTTATGACGGGGTACTTCTTCATGCTCCGCGCGTCGGAGTACTTGGTCCAAGAGGACCGCTCCTGGAGCATGGGACGGGTGGTGCGTGGGCAGGACGTACAGGGGATGCGCGGGGGTACACCCAGCGCAAGGCTCAGCGAATGCGACGAGGTAGTACTGACGATCACGTCGTCCAAGACGGACCAGTTTAACGCAGGTTGCGTACGCAACCATTACCGTTCGGGGGTGGAGTTGTGTGTCGTGGACGCACTCGCCGACCTCCAGAGGGAGCTGCCGGACCGGTTTGGACGAGGAACCGAGGCGGGGCTCCCCCTGTTCCGCCGGCCCGATGGCCACCCGATTATGCGGGAGGAGGTGCAGGGGCTCCTCCAACTCGCGGCTGCCGCCTGCGGCGTGGACGCAGGCCAGATGGGATCCCACTCCCTGCGCATCGGGGGCGCGACGGCGTTGTACCACGCCTGTCGCGACCTGGAAGCGGTCAAGAGGTTCGGGAGGTGGTCCACGGACGCCTTCCACGGATATCTCTGGGAGGACCATCGGCGTCAGGCTCCATTCGCCCGAGGCATGGCGGAGGGCCACGCCTTATTGGCCCCGGACGCCCGCGGTGACGACGGCATCGCGGCCGGCGCCCGCCCCGACCAGTTGGCCGGGAGCGACCCGCCCCAGTTTGGGAGCGACCTGAGGCCCTCGGAACGCCCGGCCTGGGCGCCCGGGCGCCCCCCCTGGGCGCGCCCTTCGGCGCGAGCAGGGTCAACTATGGAGGGGGAAGGAGAGGAGGAGCTGGTGAGATACGAGCCAGGGCGAGGAGTTAACGGGCGTGTGGGGAAGCAGCAGGCGGGTCCTACAGGTATTCAGGTCAGGGCGGGGGCTTCGCGTTGTGGGGGTATCCCGGTGGACCTCTCGCCCTCGACCCCCCTTTCACTACCGCCCCCGATCGCCCCAGGCACGCCCACCTCCTCTTGGTCCTCTCATCCGCAGCCATCTCCCACTCCAGAGCGAGGCACGCGAGCAGCGCGTGCACCCCAGCCTCGCGCGCCAGCCGCGCCTCCGCCCCGCGCTCCGGCAGCGTGCATCATGGGATTCCTGGTGGGCCTGGTGGCCCCGGACCAGAGCAAGGCGCGCGGCCATGACTACAGCATCATGGCGGTGAACCCCCTCGGCGTCGTCGTCTCGGGGGCCGCGCTGTCGGACGAGCTCCGGAGTGCCGCCCACAACATCCTGTACACGGTGGTGAACGAGCTGGACAGCGAGGACCTCGTCGAGGTGGTCAACCACGACCACGAAGCAGCCCCGTGCATCGCGGCAGCTTGCTTGGCCGCGGGGGCGAGCGAGGACCACGGCCAGCTGGTGATCGTCGACGGCAAGCGGGGCGCGTGGGGAGTGGGCGCGGGGCCGAATATCAAGGTCCAGCGCCAGGCGGCCAAGCTGGCGCTCGCCCTGGCCCAGTTCCAGGGGCAGCCCATGCCGGAGCTCCGCGAGCTCTGCAAGCACAACAGGGGGCTGCTCGACATGATGCGCACGGTGGACGCGGAGGCGGTCGTGGAGCTCACCGACGTGGACGACGCCTCGAGCAGGGGCGAGGGGAGGTCGACCCCAGCCCCGGTCCTCGAGCCGGGAGAGGACGCGGTCACCGCGGCGCTGGCGCGCGCGGCCATCCAGGCTGCAGCGCGGCGCCAGAGCAAAGGCGCTCCAGCGGAGCGCCCGCGGCCCGCGCGGTCCCCGGGCCAAGAGCGCCTCGCCGAAGAGGTCCGCAAGCGCGAGAGGCGCCCTGCGCCCTTGCGCTCGCCCTCGCGCGCGAGGCGCCGCGATCGCGAGCGCGATGAGCCTCGCGATCGCGGGCGCAGGGGACGGGGGGAGGAGGCCGTCTTGAAACCCAAGACGGGCGGCGCCCCCCCGAAGGCCGACATCGTGAAGCGTGAGGCCGCCCTGAAGCCCAAGAGCGGGGGGGCGCCGCCGCGGCCCTTCGAGGTGAAGACCGAGGTGGAGGAGGCGGCGGCGCCAGGCGCGGGGGACGGTCCGCCCCAGCGCCAGCCGCGCTCGAGGAGCCGCCGCAGGCGCAAGGAGGAGCAGCGCCAGGGCGCCCAGCAGCAGCCCAGTGACCAGCACGACGAGGGCGAGTCCATCATCCGCATCGAGCGGGTACCGCACCACGTCGACGCCGAGGTGGTCAGGCAGGTGGTCGTGCCCTTTGGGGTCGTCAAACGCATCGCCTTCCTGTACGACCACCGCCACAAGCGGGAGCCGTGCGTGCTGGTGGAGTTCCAGCGCCGCGCTGACGCGAAGCGCGCGCGGGAGTGCATGAGGTCGAACTATCGGTTCTACAAGACGGACCCGTGCACGGTGGTCACGGAGTGGGCGAGCCGACCTCGCGGCCCTGACCCAGGCAGCGACGGGGAGGATGGCCCGACCATCCAGCCGCCTGCCTGCCCGACGTGCGCTCTCAAGATGCGCTGGAGCTCCTTTGACCCGGGAGACGGTTGGGGTTGCGAGATGTGCCCCGCGGGCGGAGCTAACAGCGGAGCCCTGCGGTGGCACTGTAAGGGGTGCGACGTGAGCTACTGCGAGGCTTGCCGCGTCGCCTTCGGCAAACCCAAGACGGTGGTGGAGAAGGCCCGGCGGAGCGGCCACGCCGTGCGGGAGGCGCCGGGCCCCAGTGCCGGCCACGGAGAGCGCCCCAGCACGGGTGCCACGGGTGCGGGGGCTGAGGGGGACCGCCCGCCAGGCGACCTCAGCTGGCCCAAGCGTGAGAGGTCGCCCAGCCGCAACCGGCCCAAGCGCGAGAGGTCGCCCAGCCGCAGTCTGGCGCGGGACCCAGCGTGGGCGCGGCGCGGCGACACCCCTCCCGGCCGCACGCGGCGTAAGACCGGGAAGCACGCTGGGCAGCTTCGCGCTCCTCGCGGCGGCTGGTACGAGCAGGAGAAAAAGCGGCGGCGTGCTGCCGCCGCGGAGGCTGCCGCGGGCGGGGGTGGGATCCCAGCCTGGCGTGGCAAGGGCGCGGGCGACAAGGGCGGCAAGGGCGGCAAGGTCAAGGGCAAGCACTCCGGCAAGGCCGCCAAGGGCTCCAAGAGCGGCGGCAAGGGCGACAAGAGCGGCAAGGGCGGCCACTCCAAGGGCGACCAGGGCAGCCGCGGCCGGAGTGAGCGTGACCGGCCCAGCGCGGGCGATCGCGCGTCGAGGGGCGGCGATGGCGGCAGCCCCCGGGATCTCAGCGAGCGCGGCGGAGACCGCAGCGGAGACGAGAGCCGCGACCGCCAGGGGAACACGCCCTCCATCTAGGCGTGGAGCCTCCGTTTCCCGATGCCAGCGCCCGCGGCATCGCGGGCGCGGGCTGAAGGCGGCGGCCTGTGAGTGAGCCGGCCCTCCTCTCAGCCTACCGTGCGCAGGTGGCGCCTGCGATCCTTTGAGCCTACGGTACGCAGGTGGCGCCTGCGATGGTACGCAGGTGGCGCCTGCGATCCTCTCTCTTTGGAGGAGTTTGAACGCTGCGCGCACGTCGCGTGCTTCCTGGACCCGGCCGCGCCGCGCGTCTTGCGCGCCGCGCGGTCGGGGCCACACTTGCGCTCTGCGCCCGGCGCGTCTTGCGCCGTCCCCTTTCGGTTCTTTTGCGCGCATCGCGCACGCGCCGCGCCCGCGCTCTGGGTGCGCGGGCGCGGAAGGCCTCAAGGTTGCAGGCAAGTGGCCGCGCGCGCGAGGCTCTTGTAGCCTCCGGATCCGCCCTCGCACTTGGGCTGGGCGTCCCCGCGCGTGCGGCTGCGTTTACTCTTTTCTCATGGCCAAGCGGCCGCAGGCGTGCCAGAGCGCGAGCGCGCGGGCCGTCAGGGCCCACGCGCTCGCGTTGAGCGTGGGCCATCAGGGCCCACGCCCAGGCGGAGGTGCGCGTCGCCACGCTGCCATGAAAATACCATCGCCCTGTCCTGGTCCCTCTCTCGTCCCCTCCTCTCCTCCTCTCCCTCCGTTGAGTGCACGCGTATCTCACTTAACTTGTATAGTCTGATTGGTTGTAGACTGCAGGTTAAGTGGGAGGGGGTGTGGGCTCAGGTAGCCATTTTGGGTCCGTAGCGTTCGGCTCTGGCCGACGCGCGGGTGCCCACCCACCCCGCTTTGCTCCCAGACGCCTGCGTCGGCCAAGCGGCCGCAGGCGTGCCAGAGCGCGAGCGCGCGGGCCGTCAGGGCCCACGCGCTCGCGTTGAGCGTGGGCCATCAGGGCCCACGCCCAGGCGGAGGTGCGCGTCGCCACGCTGCCATGAAAATACCATCGCCCTGTCCTGGTCCCTCTCTCGTCCCCTCCTCTCCTCCTCTCCCTCCGTTGAGTGCACGCGTATCTCACTTAACCGGTATGTTGCCCATCGCGCTTTTCCACTTTGCTTCGCATGTGCGCGGTCGGTCAGCAACTCCTCCCAGGTATACGCAGAACACCCCCGTCCGTCCCAAATCCCTCCAGAACGCTCCAGAGTCTCGATCCTTGCAGCTCGCTGCAGGAGGCGGATGCAGACCCTTTAGAATGAATCTTAGGACCCTTCCCGAGGAGTCATCCTGGCAGCTTTGCCAGGCGGCGCCCAGCAAGGGCCGCGAATCCTCGGGGAGCCCCTGAGCAGGCAAACGCGAGAGTCGTCGATCCGTCCGATGGGTGGGAGGGATACATTTGTCGGTATACGCAAACTCGAGAAACACAACATCGCAAAACATACATTTTCTGAGCTCCGCGTGGGTTTCTTGGATCGGCGACGGCCCCCCCTCCTTTGTTGTGTCTCTTAAAACGCGAGCAAGCTGATTTCTGCATCACTACCACGGGAAGCCCAATAGAGCGCTTTGGAGATGGAGCCAAGAAGTTTTGGATGCGGCCACGATTCTTCCACTGAGGGCGAGAGACGGCATCTGTAGGCAACCCTAATCAAGGGCGCTACCCCCTCTCGCCGAGAGGCCTCTCCTTTCATCGTCTTCCCCTGCGCCGGCGCGGCAGGAGTGGAAGTTGGACACGCTCTGCGACCTGTACGAGACCCTCACCATCACGCAGGCGATCATCTATTGCAACACCCGCCGCAAGGCCGCCCCCGCGGCGCGCTCGCCTGGAACGATGTTTTGGCTTCGGGCATTTTTGGGGGAGGGGCGGGACATGATACAGTCAAGAAGCTCAACTAAGGAACAGCTTAAGTTCGTAAGGGGCTCGATGACCCTTAGGTCCTTCCATGGCTATTCCTCAAGCCCTATTCGCGCACGCAGTCGCTTTGGGGCCAAGAGGGGCGTTCGTTCCTTATTCACCGTTCCTTACTTCAGCAGCCCGACTGTACAGTCATCATGCTAACATACGAGGCGCTGAGTAAGGAACGACGGGTGTTTGTGCCAGGCCGCGGCGAACCTCGGCCACGAAACAGGTTCCCGACCTAGACCCGAGGAGCGGCCCGAGAAGCATTGGCCCTCCTGAGCCCAGTGTGGCCCTTATCTCAGCATCTTGACAGTGTACCAGTACCGCTATTCTTTGGGCTTCTTGCAGGTTGCGTTCTGACCAGGATTCCGGGTCGCATCCAGCCTCGGCGACGAGGGCGAGGCCACTTTGCAGCAGCCCCACCCCGAAGGGGGGGAAGATGACGGAACGGCGCCGGCCTCGGCGTATTGTTGAATCGTCTGTTTCCGCCGCGCGCACACGCAGCATTCGCCTCCCTCCAGTTTCACACTTCTTCGGCTGCACGCGCCGACGAGAAGCAACCTCAGGGGCATCTGGCTTGCCTCGAGTGCTCTCCAGAAGTGGCCTTGTCCCTCCGTGGCGTCTCGCCCCCTCCTCCTCCCTTCCCCGTCCACCGCTCAATGTGAGTACTGTGTGCTCTCCCCCCTGGCACCGCCCAGTGCGGGTGCCGCCCCTCCCGGGTAGATATGGTTTTCGTATTTGGGATTTCGAATTCGGATATTTCATATGCTAGGTTTTGATTCGGCATTGCCTTTCGTGTGTGTGGTCTGCTCGGATCGTCTTGGCCGCCCTGGAGGACACTTTCGCCGCGGCGCTTGCCGCACTCCCCGCCCCCCTCCGACATCACGCTCGAGTGCTGCTCTCCCCTCTCGCCTTGTACTCCCCGGGACGGGTGCCGCCTCTCCCCGCGCATCGTGTGTTTCACACGGGCTCTCAAACACCGGTTGTTCACATGCCTTCTGTTCGATCGGCCCGTTTGCGCCATAGGTTTCTCTGAGTTGTTACACCCAGATCGTCTCCGGCCGTTCGTCTTGGCCTGCTGTCCCGGCAGACGCTCTCGCTTCAGCGCCTGCCGCACTCCTGTTCATCGGACCCACTTGCTCGGCCATCCCCAAACTGGACGACGATGTTCACGCGGCGCTCGTCGTCGTCGTCGTCGTCGTCGTCGTCGACGTCGTCGATGTCGTCGTCATCGACTTGTCGTTATCGTCGTTGCCCTCGTCCTCCTCCTCCAAGTCGTCCTCCTCTTCAGTCCTTCTAATTCTCCCTTCCATTCTTTCGTCTGGCCCCTTGGCCTCATCGCGCTGCAAATTCGCTCAAGGATCAAGTCCTCGTGCGACACCCGAATTTGCGACTCGGACACGATGGAGAACACTGGGAAAAAGGGCTGGAGGGAGGGGTAGATGTCAGGCGTGGCGCAAGCGCACCTGTCTCGCGTGCCGCCTACTCCTCCTCCTCTCATCCTCGCCCTTCTGCAAAGTCACACAGTCCCTCCTTACCCTGTTCTTGTCCTCCTCTGATCCCTCTTGCCTGCTTCTGGCGGCCCTTCTGGCGGCCTGGGCCGCCCTCCGACGACTGAGGGTGCGCGGGCCTGGGCTGTGGGGCGTGGCGGGGCGGGGCGGAGGCAGCCAGAATCTCGCAGCATGGCCAGGACGCACCGCTCGTCTCGGCAGCCAGGCTGCGCAGCAGGCTGTCCTAGGCGGCTCTCGGGCCTCGGTGTTTACGGTTTGGGCGCACGCGTGCGTGGATGTTGAAGCTGTCCCCCTCCATGCATTCTGCGCTGTCCGTGATGCATTCCCTGCTTTGAAGACTTCTGGCAAAGACGCCGCCCATCACCAGCCATCCTCGCTTCGTGCAACAAGCAAAGCAACACGGCGGAGCTGTTTTTTCCGGGTTTTTTGTGGGCTCTTGCTGTGCCCCGGGGGCCGTCAGAGAACCGCCCGGGAAGAAAGGACGGGCCCGCGGGGGGAGGGGTCGAGATTTCCAGGAGGGTCCACATAGTGGAACAGTCGCGATGTCTGCGACTGTTGTCTCTTCTGGTCGGGGAGGTCGATTTCCTCGCCGACCAGCTCGCGAAGCGAGACTTCACCATCTCGACCATGCACGCAGAGCTCGATCAGAAGGCTGGGCCGCCATGAAGCAGAGGGGGGATACATATGTACAGGGAGTCAGTTGAACGTACTCGATTAGCTGTTTTGGGATGTCCGGGTCTCAACATATTTTGTGCTTGATCGTCTTACTACTTCACTCATCGATTGTATCTCCACTACCCACTGACTAAACCTGTGTTACTAGTTGTCCTACATACTTGTTTCGTACCGCTTGTAATGGTATGCGCGCGCAAGTTTCAGGGTATGGAGGATCGAGAGGCACACGGCTTGCATGAGATTTGTGTTGGCGGGGGCCTCGTGCAACATTTACGTTGAATTGTCGTTCCCAAGCGTTCCCAGGTGCTCCCAAGCGTTTCTCAGGCGCTCCCAGGCGCCAGCTGTCCAACGAGCTCGAGTTTGCATCCCTCGAAGGGCAAATATCTGCAAGCGCATCGTTACACACATCGTGCCTTGCTTCTTCTGGTAGCAACTCTTAGTTGCGGCTCTTGCTTGTTCCCCAATTATCGGTGCTACGATGTTTTAATTCGCATGGCCGGTTATATTCGGTCATAGCTGTCTCAAAGGAGGTCACGCAATGTTCGATTTCCTGCTCGTTCAAATCTCTCTGCGCAAGTTCTGTTCGTTCACTGTTTTACTAGACGATACGCAGTTGTTTCGTGGTCGTATCGTGGTTATCGCGTGGCTAGCCTGTACACTTCGTCGCTCGTTAGGCATGTTTTCGGATGCCGCTTCTCTTGCATCCCAGAAGCTTGTTCACAGTTGGTTATCCCATGGCTGCCTCGTATGCACGTACGCGCTACCATAGTGCATCCTGTTTGCCCGCATTGCTGCCGATCGCATCCTAACTACACATATCCTGGCAACATCGTTGCCACACAAAGTCCCTCAAACGTTACTCTGCTTTTCATTGCTACCTCTGCCTACCGTGGCATCTGACTCGGTTCTACTTCACCGCACGGCTAACGATGCCATGTTTAGCCTCACACCGGTAAATCCTTTTACGGTGGCGGGAGGGGTTGTGAGGGAATTTAGTTCTTCCCAACCATCTTGTGGTGTTGGCTCTTCGTTTTGAGTAGACAACGCCCTTTCTTCCTTCCTTCTCCCCCTCCCTCCTCCCATCCCTGCCTCGGCAATCCGCGCCTCATATGGAGCTCCACCGAAGGTCCCAGTGCTACTGCCCGCACGCTTCCCCCCCAAGCCCCACCGAAGGTCCACGTGCTACTGCCCAGATGCGCCCCGCGCCCCCCCATCCGGTGCAGCGTTTCGCGCTCCGTGGCCCCAGAGGGAGCTCCACCGAAGATCCCAGTGCTACCGCTCGCATGTTCCCCCCCCCCACACACCCAGTACAGCGCTTCGTGGCCTCATATGGGGCTCCAGCGACGTCGCCGGAGGCACCGCCCGCAAGCGTCGCCCTCACCCAGTACTACAGTACAGCGTTTCGTGGCCCCGTAAGGATCTCCACCAGACATTTCCGTGCTACCTCCCGCATGCGCCCCCCCACCCAGTACAGCGTTTCGTGTCCCCATAGGCAGCTCCACCGAAGGTCCCAGTGCTACCGCCCGCGTGCGCCCCCCCTCCCTGTACAGCGTTTCGTGGCCCCATAGGAAGCCCCACCGAAGGTCCCAGTGCTACTGCCCGCGTGCGCCCCCCTCACCCAGTTCAGCGCTTCGTGGCCCCATGGGGAACTCCACCGAAGGTCCCAGTGCTACCGCCTGCATGGGCCCCCTCCACCCAGTACAGCGCTTCGTGGCCACATTGGGAGTTCCACTGGCGGCGCCAGTGGCACCGTCCGCATGCGTCCGTCCCACCGACTACAGCGTTTGATGGCTATTTGGGGAGTTTCACCGAAGGCCTCCTTTTTACCTAACAGCGAAGGCTTATAGGTTTCTAGTGGGGTCGAAAGAGAGCATCCTGATTCCCCAGGGGGGTCTGGGCAGGATCCGGGGGATGCCGGGGAAAGCTGGGGATCCGCGCCTGACGTGGGGGAAACTCAGTCGGGGGTGCCGTGGGTACCCGCCTGATATGGGGCAACTCAGTCGGGGGTGCCGCGGGTCCACGCCTGATATGGGGGAACTCAGCTGACGGGTGCCCCGGGTGCTTGCCTGATATGGGGGAACTCAGTCGGGGAGCCGCGGGTGCACGCCTGATATGGGGGAAGTCAGTCGGGGGTGCCGCGGGTCCACGCCTGATATGGGGGAACTCAAGTGAGGCTGAGGCTGAGGCTGCGGCTGAGGCTGAGGCAGGCTGAGGCAGACGCGGAGGCAGGCTGATGCATCTGAAAGCCCATGAGCAGTGAGGAGGAGAGATGCCTCCTGTCGAGCGCCACGGTGTGCTCAGAGGGAGGAAGAGGAGGAGGAGGAGGAGGAGGAGGAGGAGGAGGAGGAGGAGGAGGAGGAGGAGGAGGAAGGAGGAGTTCGAAGAAGGATACGCAAGGTTTTTCTCAGCAGTTCCGGCCTCTGGAGGCCCAGTTGCGGGGATCCAGGACGTTTCAAGATGTGCCTTCATGGCGTCTGGCCTCTGGAGCCTCAGTTGCGGGGGTCCAGGACGTTTTAATATGTATACACCTAAATGTACTTAAATGTAGTATTTTTGTACAGATGTATGCGATTGCCATTGCGAATGCGACTGCGACTGCGAAGGCATCAGAATTCTATAACGGGACTCCTACATGAATCTCAAAAGGAATGCTCCCAGATATGCTTCTACACATCGCTGTTCGGTTGCTTTGCCGGGATAATTACTTTCCCATGTGCTTCCCCCTCGCAGTACAGCCTGTCGTGGCCCCGTAGGGAGTTCCACCGAAGGCCCCAGTGGCACCGTCCGCGCGCGTCTCCCCCACCCAGTTTTCCGTTCCGTGGCCCCATAGGTAGCCTCCGACGGCGCTCCGGGCACCGTCCACGTGCACCTCCCCCCCGCGTTTCGTGGCCCCGTAGGCAGGTTCACCGAAGGTTTCAATGGCACCGTCCACATGCGTATCACCCACCCAGTACAGCGCTTGGTGGCTCCATATGGAGCTTCACCGAAGGTCTCAATAGCACGATCCGCATGTGTTTCCCCCTTAAGTACATAGTTCGTGGCCCCGTAAGGATCTCCACCGAAGGCCCCAGTGGCAAAGCTCGCATACGTTTCCCCTACCCCGTACAACGTTTCGTGTCACACAGGGAGCTCCACCGAAGGTCCCAGTGCTACCGCCCGCGTGCGTCCACGACCAACTACAGCTTTTCGTGGTCCCGCAGGAAGCCCCACCGAAGGTCCCAGTGCTACTGCCCGCTTGCGTCCCCCTCACCTAGTACAGCGCTTCGTGGCCCCAGGGGGAACTCCACCGAAGGTCCCAGTGCTACCGCCTGCATGCGCCCCCCCCCCCTCAGTACAGCGCTTCGTGGCCACATTGGGAGTTCCACTGGCGGCGCCAGTGGCACTGTCCGCATGCGTCCATCACACCGAGTACAGCATTTGATGGCCCTTGGGGAGCTTCACCGAAGGCATCCGTTTTACTTTCCCATGACTTTCCCATGCGTTTCTCTCTCGCAGTACAGCCTGTCGTGGCCCCGTGGGGAGTTCCACCGAAGGCCCCAGTGGCACCGACCGCGCGCGTCTCCCCCACCCAGTATTCCGTTCCGTGGCCCCATAGGTAGCTTCCGACGGCGCTCCGGGCACCGTCCACGTGCATCTCTCCCCCCGCGTTTCGTGGCCCCGTAGGCAGGTTCACCGAAGGTTTCAATGGCACCGTCCACATGCGTATCCCCCACCCAGTACAGCGCTTGGTGGCTCCATATGGAGCTTCACCGAAGGTTTCAATGGCACAGTCCACATTTGTTTCCCCCGCGAAGTACATATTTCGTGGCCCCACAGGGCGCTCCACCGAAGGCCCCAGTGGCAAAGTTCGCATACGTTCCCCCTACCCAGTACAACGCTTCGTGTCACACAGGGAGCTCCACCGAAGGCCCCAGTGGCAAAGTTTGCAGGCGTCTCCCCCACCCAGTGCAGCGTTTCGTGGCCCCGTAGGGAGCTCCACCGAAGGCCCCAATGGCAAAGTTCGCATGCGTTTCCCCCGCCCAATGCAGCGGCTCGTGGCCCATAGGGAGCTCCACCGAAGACGATTCATACAACTGCGGCATTCACGAGTGCATTTGATCGGATTCTTTCCCAGGCGAGTGTTGATGGACGGTGGTTTTACGGTATGATTGGCCGAACATACGGAGTGTAGCTGCTGACTTACATTGGACACGAGTAGAAATCCATTGGATGTTGGCGTTCGCGTTTGTTTCAACAGCACTTGCATTCGAGATGCACGGAACGGAAGCAACCCTGGCGTGGCAACCTGCTCGAGGGCGATAACCTTCGATCAAGTTTGACCGAGACCAGAATGTGGTGGCGACTTGGCTTAAGGTTTCAGAGGGTGCTCGCGTGCCAGCCACTACGGCCAACACTTTCGCCATCGGCACGCGCGCGCACGCATGCGCGCCGCTCTTGGCTCTAGGGCGCCGGGCCCACCAAGCGCTCCCATGCTTGTGTTGCAGTCGTATTCGATATGTAGGAAGTGCTGCCGCTCTTCTGCGCAGGGGCGGCATTCCGATGCTCCTTTCCGCTGTGGCAGGGCCGTGCAGTGTGCAGTCATCAGGACGAGGGGCTGATACTTTGCCAATAGCTGGCGCCGCGCCTCAGAGCCTCGGGCCGGCGGTTCCGGGGCAAGCAGGCCATGCCCCTCCCCGTCGGCAACGTCGACGGCGCGGGGGCTGCTCTCGCGCCAGCGTCGGAGCTGGGCGGCGGCACCCCCGCGCCCCTGGTAGAGGTTGCCGACGGGCATGGCTGGCTGTGCAGCGACCTGGCCTGCTGGGACGGGGCCTTCGCCTTCGGTACCGAGCCGCGCTCCGGCCAGCCACCGCGTGTCGGGCTGCGTGGGCGCGGCGGGCACGGCATCACCACCGACCGCAGCGGAGGTCATCGCCCTGTGGAGCTCGTCGAGCTCGGTCGCGTGGCGGGGTGGCGCGAGGCCAAGCTGCTGGGGGCCTCCCGTCTCCGTGGCGGTGGCGAGCAGCTCGAGGAGAGGTTGCTCTACGACGGGCCACCTCGGCCGCCCGCGTTGGTGCCCTCCACGGCCCGAGCCGAGGCGGCCGAGGTCGACGACCTCCGCGCGTGCTGGATCGACTGCGACGACGCGGGGGTCAGGTACAAGGAGTGGAGGAAGGTGCTACAGGATGCCGCACAGGAGAGCGTCCAGACTGCTGGGCTCAGAGGGCCCCCGGCGCGCCCCCCCGTCTGCAGGAAGTTCCACGAGCACGGCGAGGCGCCTAAGGCCTGGTTCGCCGAGTGGGCTCGCGAGGTCGGCATCTCGCGCAAGGACCGGGCCTGGCACGAGGTCGAGTGCCTCATCGAGTGTCTCTTGCTGGCCGGCAGCTACGACCAGCTGAGCGCGGGGGCCGTCGCGGCCCTGGAGGTGGTCGCCCGGCGGCTGCTGCGGCACGTGGAGGCCTACGCGGAGGGCGCGGACAATCCCATTTGGAGCGCGGCGAAGCAGTTCAGCGCCACCTCCTCGGCCCTGGACCTCGCCCCCGAGGAGATGGGCATGTGCGCCGCGCGCCGGGAGAAGGACGAGCTGGAGCTGGAGAGCCTCCGTGTCCTGGTCCGCGCGCCCCACTCGGGGGCCGCCCTGGGCGCCGACGCCGCGGCCGCCGCCGCCCACGCGGGGGGCCTCTCCTCGCAGGCGGAGGGCGACCAGGCCGGCGGAGGCGGGGCATGAGGAGGGAGAAGTAGAGGCGGTCGCGGGCGAGGCGCGCGGCCGCCGGCCACATGACGCTGGGCGCCGAGGGTGGCGATGGCCCGACCGTCGCCCGCGAACCCCACAGGGCCCGTGCCTTCCTGCCTCTCCCTCCTCTGAGCGTCGTGGGCATCCCCGCAGCCGCCGCGGGCGGGAGGCGCAGGCGGCTGCTGCGAGAGATCAACGCGGCCATCGAGGCGCTGAATTGGATGCGCAGAGGGGATCATCGGCCTGCCCCACGGCAGATGTCGGCGTCCACCGAGAAGAAGATGTTGGGCCTGCAGGCTGATGTGCGGCAGTGCGTCGTGGAGGCGGCCTCCCGCTGGTGCGACGTTGACAGCGCCGTCGGCGAATGTGAAACCTTGGCCAGGCTCTTGAAGGGGCGCTCGGGCTATGCGCCGGCGCCTTCATGCAGTGTCGGGTCCTACGAGTACTCGAAGGTATCTATGCCGAGTGACTTGCATGACTCGCCGTCGCTCATCTCGATGTTGCCTTCGGAGGCGAGGAAGCACCTCGAGGATTTTGAAAAGCGCATGATCCGGCCCGCGCAGGAGTCGGAACTAATTCAACAACATGAAGGGGTGCCGGGCTGTCACGCCGACCCGGCGCTGCAGAAGGATCCTCGTGCGAGAGTCGGCATGGCGACCTTCGCTCGAGAAACGGCCTGCGTGCTGGGCGTCTTCTTCGCCGCCAAGAAGGCCGACAGGCTCGGGCTGATCGTCGACTGCCGGCGAGCCAACCAGCTGTTCCAGAAGCCTCCAGGCGTCGCCCTCCTGAGCGGCGAGGGGTTGTCCAGGGTGGAGATCGACGACCCCGGGGGCCTCCTGCAGGGCCTGCCGGGCCACCTCGGCGCCGGGGACGTCGCGGACTGCTTCCGCAGGATGAGGTTGGTGAAGACGGCGGGGGGCGACATTCGGCGTTACTTTTGCTGGCCGCCCCTCGCGCCCAAGTGCGCGGGCGTCTCCGAGGTCGACGGCGTGGCTGCGAGGCCGGACGAGAGATCTGACCCATGTGCGCGAGCCTCCCGATGGGCTTCTCGTGGTCGCTGCACTTTTCCCAGACGGCGAACGCCCAGCGCCTGGGTCGCCAGCCCGCGCTGCGGCAGAGCCAGGAGCTCTCGGACCGGGGACCCCCCCTGGTCCTCGGCGGGCCATCCGCCTCGGCAGGATCAGGCCACTACATGTGCGTTGACAACGCTGGCGTGCTCTCCTTCGACGGCGACCTGGTGGGTCGCGCTGTGGCGGAGGCCCAGATGAACTTTGACGCCGACGCGCTGCGCTTCCACGAGATGGAGGTTTTCGACCACGGCGGGCCGTCCTTGGGCTGGCATCTCGACGGCGACGCCCGATTCGCCCGGCCCAGCGACAAGCGTTTCGCTCTGGTGCGCCGTGGCGTCCGGGCGCTGCTTCGGCTGAGGGGGGTTTCTGGCTGGCAGGTCGAGGCCGTCCTCGGACACGTCGCTTTCTCGTGTTTGATGCGTCGGGGGCCCCTCTCGATCTTCCACGCGGTGTATCGTTTCGTTCGGGAGTCCTACACGAAGTTCCAGCGGCTGCGGGACTCGGCTCGGGAGGAGCTCAACGCTTTCCTCGGGGCCATGATCTTCGTCGAGCCGACTGGAGCCAGCCGTGGGCGCCCTGCGTCTACGCCAGCGACGCGAGCCTCCACGGCTTCGGCGCCTCCCAGTCCTTCTGGTCGCATCGGGGCGTGGCCGAGGTCGGGCGCGCGCCGGAGCTCAGTCGCCACCGCCTGGGCGGCGCCCGGGCCCTAGAGCACGCTTTCGAGGCCGCCGGCTTCAAGGTGGACCCTGAGAGCGGCGACGTGGAGCGCGACTTCCTCGGCCTGCCCGCGCGGCTTGACAGGGGGGCGATGGGGGGCCCTGGAGACGGCGCAATGGGGGCACAATGAGGATTTTGCCGAGGTGCCCAGCCGCCTCCTTGCCGGCGACCGCCGGCACATTAGTCTCGCTGATCGTTGGCTCCATGCCGACGACATTTTGCGCCTTGAGGCCAGAGCGGTGGTCATGGCCGGAGCTCGCGCCCTGCACATTGGGGCCGTGAAAAATTGTCGTGTCCTCTGACTCGGTGATAACTTGGCCATCACGCTGTGTTTCGCTCGGGGGAGGTCGAGGGATTACAGGGTGCTTGTGCATCTAAGGCGACTCTTTATTTTGGCCCTCGCTCGGAATGTCCGACTTTATTTCCGATGGACCCCCAGCGAGTTCAATTCTGGGGGCGAGGGGGGCCGAATCTACGACACCTTTGTATGACGCTGAGAAGTCCCGCGTTTCTCACCTGGGCGCCGAGCTGCCGCGTGCGGGGCCCGAGCCTGAAGTCAGTCATGCCGATCCCCCCCCCCGCCTCGAGCCTCCCCCTTAGCCATTGGGGCGCCAGATCTGTTCCTCAGGCCGATCCAGTTTCCGCGAGCCTCAGCCAGACCGATGCTGTGAGAGCCACAGATGGACTGGCGCCGGCGGCTGCCGTCGGCTCCCGGCCGCCCTCCGGGCGGACGTCCGCCCGCGTAGTCGGTCCCTGCGCGCAGTCGCTGCCGACTGCATCCCTGGCTCGGCCGAGCTCGGAGGGGCAGGCGACCCGCGCGCGTGCCCTGGCCCTGGGGCGGGGCCTGGCCAGCCGCCTGACGCTGTACAGCCGTGCTCTGGAGCAGGGCCAGCCCGAGCGTCTCGTGGGCTCAGCTCGAGCGCAGACGACGGAGGCCTTCCTGGGGCAGGTGGCGGACGAGATCCCCGACAGGTGGGCCAGGGCACCAGGCCCGGCCGGCCGAGGCGCCCCCGCGGACGCCGAGGGGGCGGACGGCAGCGAGAGCGACGACTCCTCGGACCCCGAGGAGAGGGCGGCGACAGCGGCCCGCCGGAGGGCCTTGCGCCGGCGCGGGGAGAACCGCGTGCGCCAGTGCCTCAGCGCCCTGATGGGCGCGGCCTTCTAGGCGCGCGGCTGACGCCGCTGGGGGCCCGGTCCGTGACCGAGGCAGCTGCTGCCCAGCACCGCCAGCGCGTCTTCGCCTTCTTGCTTGAGCTGGGGCCCCTTCTCAGAGACGGTGCTGGAGGAGCCCGCGCGCCTGGGCGTCGCCCTGACCGACTTCATGAACCACGAGTTCGAGCAGGGTCACAAGAGCTGGAGGGGGGGGAAGCTCCTAGCGGGCATCATCTTCCATTCACCGCGCTACGGGAAGAACGGCTACGACAAGCTGCCGCGCACCCTGCGCGCGTTGAAGGGACGGCGCAGAGAGTCGCTATCTCGCTCGAGAAGGCCCTTGACAGCGGGCATGTGGGTGTCCATTGGTGGAAATCGCGCGGCCGGGTTTTTTGATGGCCGCAGTGCTAACTTTGATCATGGCAGAGGGGCACCTGCGCCCTGGAGAGATGCTGGGCCTGACGCTGGCGCCGTTCCTGCCGCCCGCCCCCGGCGGGGTGGCCACGCGGGCCCTCTTGCTCTTCCCACAGGAGGGCAACCTGCGGTCCAAGACCGGCGAGAGCGACGACAGCATCCCGCTGAACTCGAGAAGGTTCGGCTGGATGGGCGTGATCTACCAGGTGCTCTCCTGGCGCCCCCAGGGCTCGGGGCGCCTCCTGGACTGGAGATGCCGCGAGTGCGTGAGCGTCTTCAGGCGCGCCGCCGCCAACCTGAACTGGGCGGTGTTGCCGTGTCAGAGGCGTCGCGCGGGGGCCAGCGCCGCCCGCGCCGAGAACCTCAGGACTCAGGAGCAGGTGATTGAGCGCGGGAGGTGGCAGGCCCTTCGGAGCGCCAGGAGGTGCGAGAAGGCCGGGCGCGTCAACCAGGCGTGGCGGGAGCTAGATGCCGAGGGCCAGGACCACGTCCGGCTTTGCATGGGGATGATCGAAGGGATCTTCCTCCGCGGGGACGCGGCGCCCACGCCGCCGCACCTCAGGCGGGGGGCGGGGCCCGGCCCCAAGCGTGTCAGGCGCTCTTGACGGCTCCGAGGATATACGTTCTCGATCTTTTTGGCGGCGGCGGCGGTCCTCGCCGAGCCGCCGCGCTCTGGGGCCTCCCCGTAGTCAGTTTGGACATGCGGAATGCTCCTGACCAAGATTTGACGGCCAGCATGAATATACGTTTGATTCTCAGGCACCTTGCAGACGGCAGGGTGGTGGCAGTGATGATGGCACCGCCGTGCGCCACCTTCTCAGTCGCGCGCAACAGGTGCCCTGTGCGCGACGCTCGGCACGTGCGAGGCCTGCCCAATCTATCCCCCCTCGATGCACATAGCGTGCAGGCGGGAAACGCTTGCCTAGATACCTGAATGCTTGTTTTGCGGGCTTGCCGAAGGCACAATGTTCCTTGTGCCCTCGAGAACCCACAGACTTCTAGGCTGTGGGCTGACCCGTCGCTGAATCGAGCTGTGCTGAACCTTGAGAGGGTGACTATCCGTCAGTGCGCTTTCGGTACCAGATCAGATATCGTACGGGAGCCGGCCTTCTCTTTTTGAATGTGTCCGACTTAGATCTTCTGAAGACGGAGTTTTGGAGATGCCGCTGCAGCGGGAAGCACGGTTTTTGCAGTTTCAGGCTGAACAAGAAGCGCCTTACCTTTGAAGGTAGTTCAATGACGAGCAAGGCTGCTGCCTACCCCTTCAGGCTTTGTAATTTTCTAGCCAGCGCCCTCCTTCAGGGTCAGGTATGACGCCACTCCGCCGGCCCAGGGTCCTGTCCTCGTGGGGTCCGCGCCCTCGTGGATTGAACACAGGGGGCCTGCCGCTGCGCTGTGAACTTCCGTTTTTGCGAAAGAGCTTGGATCTTTAAGCCAAGCCTTCTAAACATATGCATCGGCCGGCTCTGCCATCAAACGTTCACCGCTGTAAAATGAGTAGCATGCTTCTGCGTGGCAGGGGTGTTGCTAAGAGTTTTACGTCTGTCGCCGTAATGTTGCTGAAGCTCCCTCCCCGACCTCATCCGCCTGAGCGCTCCCTGTGGGCGTAGGATCTTTATGTCAAGCCTTCCAAGCATATGCATCGGCCGGCTCTGCCATCAAACGTTCACCGTTGTAGAATGAGTAGCATTGCAAGTCCCTTGGCACGTCGCCTGGCGCGTCCCTTGGGACGCTTCGCGGCGCGTCCTCCTGGCATGCCCCAGTGTCAATTTGTTTTGGGGCAACCACTATGTGTTCAGGCAGCTCGAGCTTAAAATCCAGATCAGTTCGGACAGGACCCGGATGCAAAGGAGGACTCGATCCACGACGTTGTAGAGCACAATCGCGGCATGGCACATCGCAGTTCAGCACGGTGCAGCACAACAGCCCTCGGCAGGGTACATCAAGATCGATACACTCAGCATTGGATTTGCCCGTCACCCAATCAGGTGTTTTTGAAAACACAGCCATGCGTTACATTTCTATAATATTTTCCGGGTTCGTGGGTCGACCATGTTGTTGCGAGTTTCCGAGGAAGTTGTTGGTTGAGACCAGTAGGGCCCGAAGCCGCCCCCCCGAGGTCGATGCCGAATTCGAGTAGACACTTCTGGCGCGATTTGCCCCGATCGCCAGAGGTCTAGGCCCTTCCTCCTCAAAGCCCATCTTTACTTTTGCAGGGGCGAGTTCTGCTCAAGATTTCGAGGAACATCCAGCCGCGGTGACCAGAAGCCTCCCTGTGGGGGCCCAGCAACGCCTAAAAACGTCGATCGTTGATATCCCCATCCCCCCATTCCACCGCCAGAACATGTCCACCAACGTTTCCGAGTCGTGCCCGTCGCGCCCCGAATCCTTGGGACACGACCCCGCGGCAGTGGATATGGCCAGCTGCTGGCGGCGGACTCATTCATTTTTGTTCGCGCTTGGTGGCCGCATCACCCCGCCGCCTGGCCGAGGAGCGCGACCTCGTCATGCGCGAGTTCCGTTCTGGTTCGTCGCGCGTGCTCATTTCGACTGACCTGCTCGCCCGCGGCATCGACGTGCAGCAGGCGTCTGCTGCAAGTTGGGGGGGGGGCGCGCTCCTAAGAATCGGGCCATTGGGGTGCATCCCCTGGGAGGTCTGATTCATCATCGGCGGTGGTGTATCCGTGCTCGAAGACATGTTCAATCTGATCTAATCCCGTTGAATCCAGCTCAGTCCCGCTGAGTTCGGCCTCGCCTGGCTTCACATGTTGGGCTTAACCTGGGTTCATCCAGCCTACGTGCCCCCTTTATCGGGCATAGCAACAGTCGTACCTCCCAGGAGATGCTTCTTGATGGCCATTTGTCGGGGTAGTTCCAGCATTGGATTGACTGTTCGGAAATCAGAGGAGGGCGAGTAGAGACTGCAATACATGGCCTTCGGGGGGACTCGTCGTCGCCCAACTGGATGCAGCTCAGAAGGCTGGTGCGTTTGAACCCTGGGATGGGTTCGGGGACAGATTTTGAGTTACCGTTGTCTCGATTCGACATGCTCCGAGAAAAAAATTCACCTCTGGTCTGTGCAGCAGTTTTCGAGCACCTTCGAATTCCAGAGAAGTCAGCCTCAAGAAAACTCAGCCGAGGGAAACGGCTTGAACCCAGGAGACAGAGGCACGACCTAGGAATCCGAAACAACGACCCACAGAAACCAGGGACGCACGAGCCCAGGAACACGGACGCGCGCGAGGCCCAGAATGCGCGGAGAGGATTTCGTAGGATTCCGACTGACTCTGCAGAACACCTCAGCAGTCTCCAAGACTCCCAGGATTCGACAGGCGTCTCCAATCGCTTGTTTTTCAATCGACCTCGTCCTTCTCTTCTCCCCCTAGCCTCGTGGTGTCCTGGCTTCGTGCCTTTGGGTGTGTCCCTGGGGGAGAGTTCTGGGCGGTTGTTTTGGGGGTATTCTTCTCTGTCGCCGCGGGGCGGGGGGCACTCCAGAGAGCCTGGAGCTGTCCTGGGAGGGGAGCGGTGAGGTGATCCCCAGGGAGGTCCCAGGCTGCGAACCGTCGGCCAAGTATAAAGCCATTCAGGATTTCGACTTGTCAAGGAGGTTTGCGGCGCATTCCGGAGGGCCCAGAGCCTGCCCGCCGCGTGGGGGGGGCGGGAGCGCGACTTCACAGGGAGGCCCAAGGCAGCAAAATTGTTGCAACGTCTATTGAGATCCATGATTTCGGCGCGTTTAGGGAGAGGTTTGCTGCCGAGGGGTGGGGGGGATTCCAGAGGCCTGGAGCCAGTCCATAGGGGCTGCGGGAGGTGGACGCCCTGGAGGCCTCAGGCATCAGGTTTCCTTCACTGATATCCCGGATTTCAGCGCGTTGAACGTTTGCGGCTCACAGAACTTGCCCGGGGGGTGATGAGGAGGGGACATCACAGGCAGGCCCCAGGCCGCAAATTTGCGGCGTTCTGGGATTGGAGGCGGAAGGTGAAGGCGAAGGTAGGGGAACGGAAAGCAAAGAACAAGTTGGGACAGAGAAGGAAATACAAACATGTCATTACAGAGGGGAAGAAGAGGGAAGGGACGGAGAGGAACATCTCAGTCTAGATGAGAAGAGAACATGACTTGGGACACCAGTAAGAATCATATTATTAATGTCAATAGTACGATGCTTAATCATAATAGCAATACGCAGATGAACAATAGTAATACCAATGTTACGAAGAATACAACGAATGATGTTCATAATGATTTTTCGAATATTGAGAGTCCTAAGATGAGTAATAAGAATGGTACCAATTTTAAGGAACAACCATAATAGCAATACGAAGAAGAGAGGGAGGGACACATGAAGAGGAAGGGTAAGGACTGGGGGAAGGGGAATGGGGGGGGCGGTCGCTCCTTGAGCATTCGCAACCTGGCGGGCGCAATTCATTGTGGCGCCAGCGAGTGCGCGGCCTCCACCTCGGAGCTCCTCATGGCACTGAAGGGACCTTGTCGGGGCTCCGTTGTCCGCCAGATTGCAAACCTTCTCCAAAATGCAAAGATTCCCGCGCGTTCAGGGAGAGTTTTGCGGCTTTGGGAGCGGTGGGAATTCGAGAGCCAGCTCGGGATGGGGGTGGCGGCAGCGGGGTTCCCCAGGGAGGTTCGGGGGGATGCCCTGGTAGGCGTTCTGCAGTTTTGTCGAAATTGTGATGTGTCTTGGGAAGGTCTGCGAGTTTCCCGGGGTGGTGCACTCTCGTTTCCGTGGGTGGCGTTTTCGGCGTCCTGGGTTCGTTTGTTCGGGGTTCAGGGGTTCGCGGGTTGGCGTTCCAGGATTGGCGCCTGGCGTTTCCGGGCATCGTCGCTTAACCCAACGCTTTTGACCCTTGGGGCATCGGACATTTCGGGATTCTGGGGGCATCGTATTTTTTGCCTGGCAACTCGCATGTACGGATGTACGGTGTACGGATGTACTGCTGACGGACTGTAGTGGTAGTACCAGTAGTGGTAGTAGTAGTAGTAGTAGTAGTAGTAGTAGTGGTGGTGGTGGTGGTGGTGGTGGTGGTGGTGGTGGTGGTGGTGGTAGTAGTAGTAGTAGTAGTAGTGTAGTAGTAGTAGTAGTAGTCGTAGTAGTAGGTAGTAGTAGTAGTAGTAGTAGTAGTAGTCGTAGTAGTAGTAGTAGTAGTAGCAGCAGCAGCAGCAGTAGTAGTAGTAGTGGTAGTAGTGGTGGAGCAGTAGTAGTAGTAGTAGTAGTAGTAGTGGTAGTAGTAGTAGTAGTAGCAGAGTAGCAGTAGTAGTAGTAGTAGTAGTAGTAGTAGTAGTAGTCGGTCGTAGTCGTAGTCGTAGTCGCAGTCGTAGTCGTAGCCGTAGTCGTAGTCGTAGTATAGTAGTAGTAGTAGTAGTAGTAGTAGTAGTAGTAGTAGTAGCAGCAGCAGTAGTAGTAGTAGTAGTAGCAGTAGCAGTAGCAGTAGCAGTAGTAGTAATAGTAGTAGTAGTAGGAGTAGTAGTATTAGTCGTAGTCGTAGTCGTAGTCGTAGTCGTAGTCTCAGTCGTAGTAGTAGTAGTAGTAGTAGTAGTAGTAGTAGTAGTAGTAGTAGTACGAGGAGTAGTAGTAGTCGGAGGAGTAGTAGTAGTAGTCGTAGTCGCCGTCATCGTCGTAGTAATAGTAATCGTAGTGATAATCATCGTCGTAGTAGTAGTAGTAGTAGTAGTAGTAGTTGTAGTAGTAGTAGTAGTAGCAATAGTACTAGTCGTAGGCGTAGTCGTAATCCTAGTCGTAGCAGTAGTATTAGTTGTAGAAACTGAAGACGTAGTAGCAGTAGCAATTGGAGTAGCTGTTGGCCAAGGAGTAGGGGTAGCAGTAGTAGTATTAGTAGTAGTAGTAATAATAGTAGCAGTAGTAGTAGTAGCAGTAGTAGTAGTAGTAGTAGCAGTAGTAGTAGTAGTAGAAGTGGTAGTGGTAGTAGTCGCCGGAGTAGGAGTACGGTAGTAGTGGTAGTCGACGTAGTAGTAGTAGTAGTAGTAGCAGCAGCAGTAGTGGTAGTAGTAGTTGTAGTAGTAGTCGTAGCAGCAGTAGTAGTAGTAGTAGGAGGTGTGGTATTCGTAGGAGTAGTCGTAGTAGTAGTGGAAGTAGTAGTAGTAGTAGTAGTAGTAGTAGTAGTCGTAGTAGTAGTAGTAGTAGTAGTAGTAGTAGTAGTTGTAGTAGTCGTAGTAGTAGTCGTAGTAGTAGTAGTAGCAGTAGTAGTAGTAGTAGTAGTCGTAGTCGTAGTTGTTGTGATAATTGTAGTAGCTGTTGTCGTCGTAGTAGCTGTAGTCGTGGTCGTAGGGGTAGTAGCGGTCGTTTTCGTAGTAGTCGCAGATGTAAATAATACAGGCGTAATTTTGGTAATCGCAGTCGTAGTCGTAGCATTAGTAGTCTCTATAGTAGTAAGAGTAGTAGTAGTAGTGATATTAATAGTCGTAGTCGTAGTCGCTGTCGTAGTAGAGTAGTATATGTAGCAGTAGTAGTTGTAATAGTAGTCTACGTAGCCTACGTAGTAGTCGTAGTAGCAGTAGTTGTTGTAGTAGTAGAAGTTGTAGCAGCAGCAGTCGGAGCAGTGGTGATGGTCGTTGGTGTACCCTAGTAGTTGTTGTGGCGCCTGCAGCAGCAGCCGTAGTAGTACTGATAGCAGCATTAGTAGAAGTAGTAGTACTAGTACTACTACTAGTACTACTACTACTAGCATTGATAGTCGCATTCGCATCGTAGTAGAAGCAGCCGAAGTCCTCGTAGCACTTGTAGCCGTAGTCGTTGTAGTAGTAGTGGTAGCAGTAGAAGGAGTAGTAGTAGCAGTAGGGGTAGGAGTAGTTAAAGTAGTAGTCGTAATCGTAGTAGCAGCAATATTAGTAGGTACAAGTAGTAGCAGTCGCGGTCGTAATCGTAATAGAAGAACAAGTAGCAGTAGTAGTAGCAGTAGTAGTAGCAGTAGTAGTAGCAGTAGTCGTAATAGTGTTAGTATGGGCCGCAGTACTCGCAGTCGCAGTCGTCGTCCTAGTAGTAGTAATCGTAGTCGCAGTCGTAGTAGTAGTAAGAGGAGTAGTAGTAGTAGTAGTAGTAGTAGTAGTAGTAGTAGTAGTAGTAGTAGTAGTAAGAGTCGTAGTACTAGTAAAAATAGTAGCAGTAGTAGTAGTAGTAGTAGTAGTAGTAGTAGTAGTAGTAGTGGTAGTAGTAGCCGTAGTAGTAGTAGTAGTATCAGCGTCCTCAGTACAATTAAGGGTGGAAGGGGGGAGGAAGGAGGAGACATGCAGAACATGTTGTGGACCTTCCGAATTACGTTAAAGCTCACTTGCCCCATGAGGGTATTCAAGTCTTCTCGTGTGGGGGTCATCTTGGTGATTTTCCGGCGGTAACAAAGAAAGATCGGGCATGATACGTATGCCCGTGGGCGTTGCGAGTTCAGAGTGCAGTAGTCCGTGTAGTAGTGGTAGTGGTGATAGTAGTAGTAGTAGTAGTAGTAGTAGTAGTAGTAGTAGTAGTAGTAGCAGCAATCGTAGTATCGGGAAATGTATTCGTAGCAGCAGTAGTAGTAGCAGTAGTAAGAGTTGTAGTAGCAGTGGTAACAGTAGCAGTAG